GGTGTCTTAAACTGAGCACCAAAATACCAAAAATCACTAGCCACTTTTGGAAAATTAGGTTTATAACTGCATTGCTAACAAAATGCAGTGCTAAAAAATATCCTTGAACAACATAAAACTAAAAGTGAAATTGTCTTTTATTTCATACACATCCCAGTTTGAGAATCTTTTTTCTCAAGTTAACTTCCCCAGAATGGGAAAATGATAGTTTGTATGCTTGAGTGCTCAAAAGTGATTACAGCATTCAATAAATGTACCTGCTTCTTAGGGTAATTGTAAGGTAGCTACTAATGTAATACAAGCATTCTGGAAGTTACTGTTCTACTGTGAAGAGTTTCCATTAGATCTCTTGAAACAAAGATCTGCCATCTGAGCTATGTGGGTTTCAGTAAAACATGAAACTGTAGCTCTACCTTCCAAACGTGTACTACTATAAAAATGTAACCTTTATTGGCTCAATTAGGGCAAGCTTTTGATAGCTGTGGGGTTTTTATAGTTTTGCATGAGATGCTACAGCCATTCCCCTGAAGAGAAACTGATAGTTTGTTTCACTTATTCTATTATCCTCAATCTCCACTGAAGCTTTATGAAAAAATCTTCACCAATGATTAAACTAGCAACAGACCCTTTTTATCTGCCAAACCCATGTTGTTTACACCCTGTATTTCTATTATAAAGTAGGTAGATTTTTTTGAAAAACAACCTTTGGCATTTTAAAAAGGGCAGTAAATACTCATACCACAAATGAGCAATAGCCAAACAGGCAGTGGTGTTTTCCCATCTGGACCAACACCACCATCTTGTGAATAGCTCTATGAATGGTCTTGTTGTTCCTTACTATTTAGGGCTCTTGCAGAAGGCATGGGTTCCCATCACACTTGCAAAATGAGGCCACTGTATTATTTGTTGAGTTTTATCTTAATCAGTTGTGTCACACGTATTTGTAGTTGTGGGCTTATTACCAGCAAGCAGAACCTGGATCACTGAGCCAACACATCAGTCTGATTTTGAATGGGATGTTGTAGGCCAGTAATACGTCTCTGAGTCCTGGATTGTCCTCTTGAGGAAGGAAGCCCTTCACATGCGGAGCTTTGCCTCTCTCATGGCAAAGAGGGGCCCAGCCACCTCCATGGCACTATTTTTCCACCTACCCTCACACCCAGCTGAGGATGCGCCACATGGGAGAAGGGAGTGGGGACTGGACAGGTCAGATGAGGAGTGAGTGGGCTGGGGCAGGGCTGTGGTCGGGACACACATATCATTCCCTTCCAAGCCCCATAAAGCTTAGCGTGAATAAGTAATGAAGCTTGGGACAGTGTTATTATTTCCACAGGGCCCATTCTCTTCAAGGGTTCCAGGACTACCAGGGCCAGGAGGCTTCCTTTGTTGAGAGATAGGGAGGCTGCCTGTGGCCATAGCTGTGTGGAGGGACAGGGCCTCGGTGAGGATAGCACTGGTCTCTTGTGGATTCTAGGGGCTCCACCAGGTTTCTCAGGTAGGTTCCAAACATTTTTCATGAGGGGAAAACTCCATCCCCATGACAGGAGGAGAAGAGATGATCTGGCCCTAAAACAGAGCTTGACAATGTAAATATAAGTACTGTATTCTGTAGGTGACATCAGCTTATCTGGTCAGTGATCTGTTAGTTTAGAGGCCTCTAACTGAACCTTAATGGGTTGAACCTTCATCAACTATCAGATCAAGCATATCTATAGTTGCATATTACATAACAGTTTGCTATGGCTAGGAAGGTGCCATTATAGAATATTGACTAAGTCATCTTGGTCATATAAAGCCTGCACCTCCTAAAGATGGTTCAAATTAAGTGAGGTCCCTCCAAACAAACCAGCAAGTAACATTTTCTAAAACTGTTTGACTTTTAAATAACAAAATCCCTGCCTTATTAATACAGTAATATATGTTAAAATAACTTGTGGTAGCCTTGATTAGACCATTCAGTCCACAAGGCAACTTTATTAATTAAAAGATTATTACTTAACAGATCCATCAGATCAGACATAAGATAACAAAAAGAGCAGGTGCCACATAAGGACCCTTTGGGCTTGTCTTCAGTACCGGGAGATCAACGCTGCTGCAATCGGTGGTGTGATGTTGCACCCCATAATGCTTTATGGAAATATGCTTATGAAAGTAAATACGACATAACTGGAATATGTTTTATTCTAGATATGCCATGTAGCATATCTCTGCAAAGGTTATGATCTACTGGATGTATTCATCCTATTTGTATGCATGTATCATTTTTGTATTCGAAGTTATGAATATTGGCTATGTACTTGTTTAATTTTAAGTAGCTTCAGTGAAGCAGTTGGTCAGCTTCCTGAGAAAAGACTATTCTTAATAAGTGCCCAATCAAGAAACACTTAAGCTAACAATGAACTTGGAGATGCCAATCCGCACCTGAGCTTTCCCAGGAATGTGGCCTGGCTGGTAAGGAACTCAGTCATGCATGGACATGTGACTTGCCCATGTGACTCCAAAACTCCATCTTGGAGCTGGATTCTGGATAGGAGAGAGGAGGGGGTCTCCACCCAAAAGAGAAAGTCTATTTAAGCCCCTGGGAGACCCCTCCATTTTGTCTTCAGCTGGCTCAAGAGATAGCCTCTCCACCCCCAAAAGATACCTGAAAGAAACTGGAACAAAGGACAGTAACCACAGGAGTGTGAGTGATTGCTGGACCCAGACAAGAAGGAGGCTATTCTGTAAAAGAAACTTATTGCAACATCTCTGAGGGTGAGATTTCATCTGTAATCACTTTCTCACTGTAATAGGTTTAGTCTTGCATGTTTTATTTTATTTTGCTTGGTAATTCACTTTGTTCTGTCTGTTATGAACCAATTAAATCCTTCTTTTTGTATTTAATAAAATCACTTTTTTACTTATTAATTAACCCCGAGTATGTATTAATACCGGGGGGAGGGGGGGGAAACAGCTGTGCATCTCTCTCTATCAGTGTTATAGAGGGCAAACAATTTATGAGTAAAACAGATTTATTTGGGGTTTGGACCCCATTGGGAGCTGGGCATCTGAGTGTTGGAGACTGGAACACTTCTTAAGCTGTTTTCAGTTAAGCCTGCAGCTTTTAGGGGACGTGGTTCAGACCTGGGGCTGTGTTTGCAGCAGGCAAGCATGTCTGGCTCAAACAAGGCCAGGTTCTGGAGTTCCAAACTGGCAGGGAAAACGGACTCAGAGGTAGTCTCAGCACATCAGTTGACAGTCCCAATGAGGTTTCTGTGATCCAACCCATCACAGGCAGGTGTAGTGAAGACCCGCTAAATCGATGGCAGAGTGCTCTCCAGTCGACCCCGGTACTCCACCTCTCCGAGAAGAGTAAGGTAAGTCGACCGGAGAGCATCTCCCATTGACACAGTGCAATAAAGACACTGGGGTAAGTCGACCTAAGCTATGTCGACTCCAGCTACGTTATTCACATAGCTGGAGTAGCGTAACTTAGGTCGACTTACCCCGGAAGTGAAGACAAGACCTTTGCTAATTTAGATATGCCCCATAAACAGATACCTTGTGCTTAAAAGACTCTCTAAAATTACCATGAAGTGAATATAGCTCAGGTGCTGAAGCATAGCTTGGATTAATCCTTTTAACTGGACTCATAGCCACAATCACAACCCTTTCAATGATATTTTCAGCAGATTATGTGGTACACTTATGGGAAGGAAACGGACAGTTGAAACACCTGCTATGCTGTACCTTTACTTTTTCTTTTGTGGACATAACAGCCTGAATGACAGCTGAAGTGAATGTTACAATTTTAAACAATGATTTTAAAAAGCAGTGACTAAAGTTAGTTTCTTAAATCCACTTTTGGGCACCTAAATAGACGATCTGATTTTCATTGAGGATCCAGCAACTCCCAATGAGGGGATAATTCATCTTCCAGATGGGATTCATCATTTATGGTAATTAAAGATGCTAAATACAGGGATGCTATTAACCCCTGTGTCCTAATCAAATTCCAGCACTGCTGATTATATTCTACCTACCTAAATTTTCAGTTAATATGCTATTATTCCTCACTTACAGTCTGAGCTTCCAAACACCGTGCACATACATAATTCTACTCCTATTGATATAATTGTGCCACTCACACAGACAAACTTACATGTGCACATAAGCATTTTCAGGATCAGGCTCTTTGAGTCCCAAAGTACTGTGCGGTATTACCATACGTTACTAATTAGGAACAGCATACCACCCAAGAAGGGTCTGCATTCTAATGGTGGTTATAGGGATTCAGTGCAACAGTGATTATCTGACCTTCAATTATCTGAACTTCCCTGTTATTCAAAACAGGGTCATCGCCCCATGACATCCATTAATTACAAGATGTTCCCTCTACTACCTTAAATAATTAAATGCCTCCTATTACATTTGGATATTCAAGGTTGTGACTTATATGCAAAGTTATTGGGGTGAAAGGTGCCATATCGAGGTAAAGTATTATATAAGTATAATTAATAACAATTGGCAACACTGACAGATAAAGATGAGTGAAGAGGTAGGTTTTAGTCTATGCACAGATTCCTGATTGAACTGGAGACGGTTTTGACAAACACATAAGAAGGAATCTTTCTCTCACATTTCAGACACATTTTGATGAATAAAAATATATATAAGTCCAAGATGATGTGAAGTATTCAAGCATTATGTTAAGATGCCTACTTTGAGTATTACATCTTGATTCCCTGTAAAAAGCTCACTTATCTTAGCACTTCTGATCTGTGGCATTTTAAATAAATGAGGTCTCCGCATAATTAAATTGTCTTGGTTTTAATTACGTTCCCTTGAGTTTTTTTAATTACTTTGCAACTTGAGGAAAGCCTCATTGGGAGAATGGATCTGAAATCTCTGATGTGTTTAATAACGTCAAGCAACAAAAATAGCTGTGGGGGAAAATCTTATTAAATCATATTTGCAGGCTTTCTTATATCTTTCAATAAGGTTAATATCAAACAGCTTACCTTGTCATCTAATTTCCGTGCGCTGAATGAAAGTTCAACATAGTCATCGTTGCCAGACAATTCTTCAGCAATCACCTAAATGAGAAGCTACATATGAGTTTTGCATGTATAATGAAAGAAAATAAAATTAGGAACGATGCCATTTACCAGCATGTGGACTATAGACCCTATCAGCTGGAAACTGACAGTCACCTTCCAAGAAACCAGATGCCTAGCTAGCAGAGATATCAAAATAGGTCAAAACAGTACACTTTCCTCTGGCAAAGTATTTTGCCTCTAACTGAGTGGAAGATGTTCATAAAACAGGTTGTTAATTTTTAAGATATTTCTAGGCAACCTGCCATGATAAATAGAAAGACTAGGAATGAAATTACCTGTAATTAATTACCATGAAATTCAGGCCTTGTCTACAGTAGGAGGATTTTGCTAGTATAGTATAGTATAAACGTATAGCCCGATAGTGGAGATGCAGTTATATCAGCATAAAGACACTGGGAGCTAATCTACACTATGAAGGCTTTGCTGGTATAGCTATACCAGCAAAACCCGTACTGGAGATGCAGCTTAAACCAGTTTAGCTAAATCATCTCCCCAAACAGCATATACTATATTAGCAAAATGACTCTTTTGGCATCTGCAAAGGAGTGGGAGGGGAGGAGGGTGAGAAGGAGAGGTTTGACCCATATTGACATCAGCTAGAAGTGTGTGATATTTTCACATTCCTAACCAATGTAGCTATGGGCAGCAAAACTTTGTAGTGTAGACCTAGTCTGGTATAGCTTATGCCAATTCCCCTGGCTAAAATAAGGTATGGCAGTATAAGCAGAGTTACTCTGATGTAACTGCATCTATATTAGTGCCATGTCTACACTAGGAGTGCTTTGCTGGTATAGCTATACTGATATACTCTAGCAACTTATACTGGCAAAACTGCGCTTTCACTGATATAATTTATTCCAGACCCCCTGAAAGAAGCTACACTGGTAAATCACATCCCTGGCTGACAGTCATGCCAGCAGAAGTCTGTGGTGTAATATGGCCTTGGGCTTTTATTGGCATTGTTATGTCAGGAAAAACTCACGTGCCTGACATAGGTAGGCTGGTAAAACTTTTAAATCTAGAGCAGGCCTTAAATAGAGCTAGGGCATTGTACCTGAAAATGCCACCAAAAGCAAAATGACATTTCAATTTTTTTTCCAAGTGAAAAATAATTTTCTGCCCACAAAAATGCTCCCACAAGTCATTCCCCAAAAGCGTACACAAAACAGAGATTCATGCCCATTGCTCACATATTCGCCAGCCATATGTGTCTCCCACCCAGGATTAAACCATAAGACTCCAAAACCTTGGAGGACTAGTAGGGTGACCAATGACATCCTTCAAACCAGCTAGGTACTGCCTGGGTCAGAGTGATAATCAGTGTACTACAACATGATGCTTCTACTATTCTACTGTACAATTCTCAGGAGTCAACAGCGCTGCTTGGAGTCTCACACTGTTTCAGCAGCATATACTGGGACTTTTCGGGACAAATTAAAAAAAAAAAAGAACAAAACTGGAGGCTGACTTTAGCTTAAAAAATGTGTGTCATATAAAACTGGTATTTGGTCACACAAAATATTCACAAGCACAGATGTGTGTGCACAAATCCCTAATTGCGCATGAAAATACAATCACACGTGCGCACACACATTCATTTTATATGTGTAAGTGAGATCTGAGTTGCTGAAAATTTGCCCCGTAATGCTTTAGATGATATTTCTGTTCCAGGTAGACTACTGGCTGGAAGGATCATGTAGGACACATCACTATTAGCACATAAGGATTTGTATATCAAATTTTAAGCTTCAGCAATATTTTATAATTGAGTTACAAATCCCTATCTATGAGCACTGACAGACCTCTCTGAGTGGTTGAAAAAGCACTGCTGTATTATTTTATTCCATAGCCATGTAATAATAATATATTGATTAGACAATTCTAATGGTAGCGCCATACTAAAGATAATAGTACACCTATCTGGGATGTGAGCCTTTTCAATTCACTGAAGAATACGTAACTCAGTAGGAGTTGTGCGTTAAAAACAAGTTGCAACATTAACATTAGTAAATTCCCTATTTCACAGATGCTCAATATGTATCTTGGGACCAAAATGAATTAAAAATATTTCACTTTGATTTATCACGTTGAGAGATCCAGGTTTTCATACAATTGTTTCTGTTTGAGTTCAACTGTTCTAATTTGAGTAAAGTCCATCTGCTTTACAGTACCATTGAGTAGGAGCCAGGATATGTAAGCCTTAGCCCATGTTATTAATAGTAAAACTGTGTTGATATTTTCAACACCCAGGTGGAGAAGTAGTTAGCAAAACTATCTGCAGAAAGGCTAAGGATACGAACCTCCTTATCTATTTTGTTGTCATTCTAGGTTTCTGAAAGGAAATCTTAAATATTGCAATTGCTTTGCACTTATGCAGCACCTTTCTGAGGATCTCCAAGGGCAGCAGAAATGTCATTCAGCTAAGTCTCACAAGAGGCCAGTGAAGAGGGAAGTATTCTACTAATAGACTGAGGAATCGAGAGGTTAACTGACTTAGACTCATAGATTCATAGATTCTAGGACTGGAAGGGACCTCGAGAGGTCATCGAGTCCAGTCCCCTGCCCGCATGGCAGGACCAAATACTGTCTAGACCATCCCTGATAGACATTTATCTAACCTACTCTTAAATATCTCCAGAGATGGAGATTCCACAACCTCCCTAGGCAATTTATTCCAGTGTTTAACCACCCTGACAGTTAGGAACTTTTTCCTAATGTCCAACCTAGACCTCCCTTGCTGCAGTTTAAGCCCATTGCTTCTTGTTCTATCCTTAGAGGCTAAGGTGAACAAGTTTTCTCCCTCCTCCTTATGACACCCTTTTAGATACCTGAAAACTGCTATCATGTCCCCTCTCAATCTTCTCTTTTCCAAACTAAACAAACCCAATTCTTTCAGCCTTCCTTCATAGGTCATGTTCTCAAGACCTTTAATCATTCTTGTTGCTCTTCTCTGGACCCTTTCCAATTTCTCCACATCTTTCATGAAATGCGGTGCCCAGAACTGGACACAATACTCCAGCTGAGGCCTAACCAGAGCAGAGTAGAGCGGAAGAATGACTTCTCGTGTCTTGCTCACAACACACCTGTTAATACATCCCAGAATCACGTTTGCTTTTTTTGCAACAGCATCACACTGTTGACTCATATTTAGCTTGTGGGCCACTATAACCCCTAGATCCCTTTCTGCCGTACTCCTTCCTAGATAGTCTCTTCCCATTCTGTATGTGTGAAACTGATTTTTTCTTCCTAAGTGGAGCACTTTCCATTTGTCTTTGTTAAACTTCATCCTGTTTACCTCAGACCATTTCTCCAATTTGTCCAGATTATTTTGAATTATGACCCTGTCCTCCAAAGCAGTTTCAATCCCTCCCAGTTTGGGAGACAAAAACCTTTGTCCAAGGTCAGTCAGCTAGACAATGGCAAAGAGTGGAATCAGGATTTGCAAGATGAATTCCTGTTACTTGCTATAGCAACTAGGCAACATTGAGTCTCAAACCAGGAGTTGCACTTTTGTAGTCCAAATCCTCACCTCACTAGTCTCAGGTCTCTTTATTTTAAATATTATTAAATATTCATATTGCAGCAGCACATGGAGTTCCCAACAAGTATCAGAACTCCCATGTCCTAGGAGCTGCGTGAACACATAAGAGGATTATGGACCTGATTCTTGTTCACACTAAGTCCCATTACATCAGTGGTCTCACCCTTTTTGGGCTCAGGACCCATTTGTAAATGTTGATGGCCTATCATGACCAAATAAATAGCCTGGGGGTGGAGGAAGGTTGTGTCCTGCCCCTGGAGGGGGTGGGAAGCCCTAGGGGAGGTTGGGTCCTGCTCCTGAGGGATATTGCTTTTCTACACTCACCCCGCAGCACAATGAAGTCAATGGGGCTACTCAGATGTACAAAATTAAGCAGATGTATAAGTGTTAGAAAAATCAGGCCTAAGTACATTTTTAAGACTGTAAAGCATGGATTAGAAATAATCAAACAGTAGAGCTTTCTTGTTCTGTACCTTTATCTGATTAATGCACTTTATGACACTTGGGAAAAAAACCAGAAAATATTTTCTTGTCATTTGTAGATTACAGGTATGTCCCCAGAAACATTCAAATAAATCAGAAGGCTCAAAACATTTTTTCAGTTAGGGATCATGCTAACAACTCAATAGGAAACTTTTATGGAGAAGTAGTCACATTAGATAGCTTTAAGCATGGGGGAAATATATTTAAGTCTGGCTTACTGTTATGGATGATTTCCCTGCTGTGTTCCCATGTTTCAGTAAGGATTTGGAGAGTTTCCTCTGTGAAACAATCTGTGCCAACACCAAAACAAAGGGAAAAAATTAGAAACTGTAGTAAAAACATGGATTGTGATTTGATTTTTATGTTATTGCAATTATTTGTATTTGCACCTGGGAACCCTAATCAAGGATCAGAGTCCCATTGGGCAAGGCACTGTACAGACAGGTAACAAAGGTGACAGTCCCTGCCCCAGGGAGTTTACAGTCGTGACATGACAGGCAGGATGCAATCGGAGGACAAGTGGGATGGGGAAGGGTGGGAGGATAGGTTAGAATTAACGCAGTTGAGCAGAAAAGCAGAATCTGCAGCTCATCATTTGCTTAACTAATGACAGATGGAAGGCATCAGGGCAGAAGTAGGTTTTTTAAAAGGGTTTAAGAGACAAGGTGGCAGCTTAAGAGTGTTTCTGATCCTTGGGGGGCCGCACTGGAAAAATAATTCTACACAACTAAGCTACCAAAAATTACAATAACATCAAGTCTCTTTCTATGAGGCATCACAGTCTGTTTTACACAGGACACCCATTATTTAAAAACAAATAACTTTAAATTCAGACATAAACAGGCTGCATCACAGCCTGAGTCCAACTTTGTCTCCACAGGGACTACATTTTGTCTGGAGCTCTATACAGCACACCAACACATCTAGTGGGTGACTAATGTACATCACGTAAACATTATTCCAGGCATAATGATGAATTGTATGTTTTCCATTACAACAACCAGTAGATTTCCATAACCTTGAGACATTTAAACTAGGCAAGTAAAAGTAGGAGAAAAATATATTGTAGGGAAAATTCCTACACTAGCCCACAATAAGCAAGTGATGTGATGATAGACTAGTGAATGATCTAGTTTATTAGGTCATTTCCATTATATGATTCTATTAAAATAGTTTTCATTAGAAACATGTAAAAATTATGAAATACTAGATATACACTAGATAACGCTAATGAAGAGAAAGCATTATCATAATTATTTGCATTGCAGTGGCTCCTGGGAGCCCCATTATTTGTTCAGAACCCCATTGTGTTAGGTGCTGTACAAACACAAGACGAAGAGAAGGTTCCTGTCCCAAAGAATTTACAACCTACTATCAAATATGCAGAAAACATGCAAAATAGAGCATGGTTTTGGTATTAAAAACAATTCTTTCCCATTTTGTACAACACATTTTTAAGACATTATGGCCCAGATGCACACTACATGACCTTTAAAGTGCAGTAACCTAGAAATGGAGACAAAAGTAACTCTTATGCAAAGCATGCAAAAAACAACAATAACCCACTGAAGAGCCCATAAAGGAAAGGGAGTGGTTTATGCCTGCTCAGCTGATGTTCTGGGAATTTGTATGGATTTGAACAATATGCTAAATTAGTAACCGTAATTATCATAACAGCTTTAACTAGCACACAGCATACTAACTTAAAGAATTACATACTGCAAAGTACAATGGCAACCTGCACAAGTTTGATACTGTTTTTCATTATCTCAGTGGGAGGCGGACTTTGAGCAGTCTTTGCAGTGGAGGAGGAGGACTGAAGAATGGCACCCATATTTTGCTTTGCAGAATCACATATCTCAGGGTACGTCTTCACTACCCGCCGTATCGGCGGGTAGCGATCGATTTATCGGGGATCGATATATCGCGTCTCGTTAAGATATATCGATCCCCGAACGCGCTCCCCGTCAACTCCGGAAGCTGAAGTTGCGTATCTTAGATCGATTCCCCCCCCCGCCCCCCCGGTAGACCAGCCTCACACAGGCAACTAGCACTAAGACAATGCTGTTCTTTCAGATGCAGTTTGCTGGACAGTGCCCCAGTGATGTGGGACATAACCGAGGTAACACAACTACTTTAACAGTGATAACAGCAGCCTTTGGTATGGGCGCAGCCAGAGCATGCTTAGTTTCACTTTAAGAAGAGGGATCCATAGAAGAAGCTGCTGCCATTAAACTATATATATTTTTAAAAAGAGTTAACTAATTCGTTGCATGTAAGAGTTTTGTTCAATGGCCATAAATACTGCAGATGAGACTGCTGTGTGGAGGCAAGAATTAGGTAGTGCACTAGGACTCTTGTGTTCTACTCTTGACTCTTCCAAAGATTATTCAATCGACACACATCTGCGTCTCAGCCTACCCATCAGTCAAATGGGTTCAAGTAAAAATCACCGATCTCCCATGAGTTCTATGAGTTCAATTAACTTTTTTCAAAGACCTGTCAGAGATCCTCAGATGTTAAGCACTACAGACTTCCAAAGTATTATAAAGTTATGGGCTCTGTGCATAATGGAACAAAGGGAAAGTATCTTCTCAAGCAGGAGAGCAAAATACAATTAGTAAGAATAATTCCTCCTTCCAATATGCTTTTTAGTCCCTTTAGTCCCTTAGATGTGCTACATTAATCTCTAATGTATGATAGAACTTGGATGGAAAACAATCACCCTTCACCTACTCACCTGTAGTCACTAAAAGTTATCTTTACCCAGCCTCCTTTAGTAATTCCAGCATTTTTGCCCTGAACTATTCACCTCATTTCAACTTCTAGCCCTCCCTTCGCTCCTTTGCGAGTTGTTCAAAGTACTAAGATGCACTGCACATAAAGTAGCTTGAAACTCTGGGGTCTCCACTTGTGTGGCAGCTACATGCATCAAAATACAGTGAATGGAATTTATTTTGACGTTCCTATTATTAGCTCGTTTTAATGAGACCAGCTCTCTAAGCTATTAGTGTCATTTTGCTGCAGCAAACACTCTGCATATGTAAATATGTGTATTCGTGTGTGAACACCCACACGTTGTTAATCAAGTGGCCAGTAAAATGGATCCATCTGGCAGCTCTACGCCTGCATCATTGCCTCAAATAGTAATTAACAATTAAGATTTGCAGGCTGTCATTTAAATAATTGACAAAAAATCAATTTTTATAAGCAGTAAATTGCCCTTTTTGTTTGCATGCTAAAAAAGTAGCTGTTAGTGGCTGGAATGGGTTTTTTTTTTTTTTTTTTTTGGAAGCTGCCATCAATTATGAATCACATTTATTGCCTATCTATAGATGTAACATTACTTCCCCAGCAGAACCATAAAAAGCGTTAGCGATCCTGGCTGCTAGCAAGCAAGTTTCAGCCAACTGGAACATATGAACATAGGAAGCAGCTGTTTAAGTTCAGAGTTACAAAGAGATGGTTGAACTTGCAATATGGCCAAAGGCAAGGCATTTATCAAAAGTCTTTTGTTTGTTAGACGTCTTTGGTTTGACTCCTACTTCAGCAATTCACAATTGAAAACTTTAGGGGAAAAGGTGTTTCTACAATAGACATGTGAAGAAGTGGTACAGAAAGTGAAAAATCTTTTCTTTCTACAAAACAGATATCGGGGGGCAGATTGGACCCTTTTCCCCCCCAACAGATTTTAAATACATTTTCATGAAGTCCCTGATATTGTACTGAGAACTGGAAATAGGAGTAGAAAAAAACAAATGTTCCATTTAAAGAAAAAACACCAGATATATAATGATGTTATACATATTCAAATATATGCAAATTAGAAAGTAGATTCATCCAAATTTCGAGATCTTCAACATTAAGGCCAAATTCTAAGATCAGTTACACTGAAAAGACTCCTTTGAAGACCCTCTGGGTTTGCATTGTTCAAAATCTGGCCCAATGTGTTAAGGAGAGGGATGTGCCCAAACTAAAACTCTGGATCTTGGGGTGATTAAATCTGGATCCATATTTTGCACTTTGATCCCAGCTCCAGTTTAAAATGGTATGAAAGCTGCTCTGCCCGTTTAAAAAAAACAACAACAACTGGGGATTATAGAAGTTATGACAGTGAAGATCTATGGCATTGGCAATGATTGTGTATAGCGCCAACTTCCCATAAAAAGCTCTGGCAACGTACATCAGAATTAACCTACAATATCTGTTACTTGAGCTTTGGTCCTTTTTTGACAAGCAATTACCAAGCATGCCAAGCTGCCAAGCTATGTAGTGGTAGAAGTGGTTTTAAGATGTGCACAAAATTGACTAGGATAAATGTCCAAGATCATTTTCATTTGTGACATATGCCAGGATATGAACTCTGGTATCTGGAGGTTGAAAGGCTAGACTGGTAATCTAGTGTGTCAGCTAAAGCTCATGAGATAACTATAGTAAAAAGAGAAAAGAATTTAGTAGCTGTGGAATGTCCAGACCCCTGACTTATCCCTAACCCTAAATACTATGTCCACACTAGAGGGTGTGTGTGTGTGTGTGTATAATAAGTAATAGCATACTTTCACTATTTCACCCCTCACCACATTTAATTTTATTGTAGACACACACAATGCCCTCGCACCCCCCCCCCATTAAAATGCTGAGGGTTGTTGATGTTTCACCCATATTTGGAACAATGGTTCATTAAGGCAAGATTAAAAGAACTGACCTACTCAGGTTCAAACTCTGTAGACCCCTCCCCGTTACATTTCTTGTCTGAGGCAGTGTCATTCCTCTCTCTCCACTGCTGCTGTATCCAACCCCACTTTATGGATTATGTTCTCCATAACACATTCAACACACTTCAAGATTGGATTTGAACCCTATAGTACTGATCAGTCCACAGCATATTTAGAGCTGAATTAAGGCTTTTTCTTATTTGCTATTGATTTTAAACAATGACAGCAGCTAGCCAGTCAGAACAGGATATTGGAAAAAAAAAATCAGTGCTCACAACCATAATATAATAGGACTCAATGACATTGTTGGAAAGGGTTTATCGATATAAAATGGTTTGAAATTCAATTAGTGTATGGCGTCTCTAGCTCTCTGGGAAAAAACAGTTTTAATTCATTAATTTTTCATGGATCAATGCAGTAATTCATATAAAAGATGAAATATGTAAAACAAAGCATTAAGAACTGTGAAAAGTGTTCCGATAACATAAGTCTCTGAGTTTCATGCCATAATGGAAACAATATGTCCTCAAAGATCATGTGGAACACTCTGCTACAAAAGAATGACTAAACTAGGC